TGAGGGGTTTAGAAAGTCCGGTCTTGATCGAACAAGAGCTTTGGCAAGACCTTCCCAATCTCGAGTTCCTCGGAGGTTCTGCACAATGGATGGTCATTGTCGACAGCCCACCTTTTGACCATCCACTTGTTCAGCTGGCCCTTGACGACTTTGTATCTTCGGACAACATTAGACTTTATTCTCCAGCTGAAGAAATGATCAAGAAAGTTCCAAACCTGCGACGATTCGGTATGGCAGTGCCCCATCCAAACTCTGAAGACAAGGACGGCAGAGTAGGTGTGGCCTGTGTCCGGCTCTTTCGAGTTCTTCGAGAGCGGGGAGTGGACTGGATCGATAACGACGGGGGACTGGTCCGGTACGAACGCATGATCAACTACGTTTCGTTCACGACGTTCGAAGCATATCTCTTTCTATTCTGCTACATTCACACTGGAATGAGCCAAGCATCGGTTCTACTCCCAGCCTGGTTGTCGCTTCTCTTGAATTGGTCTGAGGGACACGTATTCTTTTTGGCTATATTTCTGTTCATGGACCTCGTGATCTCTCGGGTATATGATTGTTACTGGTCGCCGACCTATTCGTGGGTACGAATCCTTCCAGAGTTGGATGGTTCATACACGCTCGGACCACGGCACACTCAATTGACCACCTAGTCTCGCGATAAAGTCTCTTCGTTGCATTTATAGCATATAGTAGAGAAAATAATATGCCTTGGACTGTATTCTCATCAGCTACAGATACTCCCTTTCTTGACTACGCGTTTCATTCATAGATGTTTAATTTCTTGGTCATCTGACTCCTAGTTTCCCTCTATGCTGAGATTTTATACCATACATTACTTGTCAACGCTCTCATCGACATAAATACCGCGCGTCGCCTGAGCACGGGGCTAGCCTTCGGTTATACTCTTTTAATTGGGGTCGTTGGAGGGACAATTAATGATTCGGACATTAAGTGGGACTTTATCAGAGTGTTGGTACAACCCGTGTCCTATTAAGATGGGCCAGAGATCGACGGAGGATGATTATGGAGATCCCAGCTATCCAATTCATGAGGTAACTCGAGCTCAGAGGCCTAGGCGTTCTAAGCTAGTTTCTTTTTCTTTCATTGCCTGTCCCAGGCATCGAAGTCCCGCCACCAGGGTTGGAACTGGATGATGCCTGTTTGTTGTTCTGACTATTCTACATGACGAGATTATTCAAGGTCACCGAATTGAAAATGATGGGGATGGTTAAAATCAGATTGCGAGTTGGCGCTTACAATTCTCCTCCAGTCTCGATTGAATTGATATCAATTGTTCCCCTTTAGCAGAGAAGGCCCTTGATCACTTCCGGCAAGGCCAAGTGAATTAGTCATGATAATCAATTGTATCTCCAATATTCATATAGCACGAGCGTTCATATACGTAAATAGCATTACCTAATACTATTTGGCTGCTGTCATCACGGTGGCGGCAACGTGTATTTCGGCAAACGGGTACCCGGAGTGGGGTAGCAAAGTGCACTCATAATCGATAGTGTGTGAGGGGACTCGATGTGGGAGATGCGAAATCACCGCGGTGCATCTATACACGTCGTGTCCGGTCGTGTCAATGGGTCTTGCTTATCCTCATCGTTACCACTGTAGAAAGTCTCGGCTGATCTCATCTTTCATTATACATTTAGGGCCAATAGTTCCCCCGGTATCTGGGTCTCTATTGTACTATGCTAGTATCCCCCC